ACTAAAGAACTATGAGATAATGAACGGAGGTTGTCTTAAGATTCAGCATTGCGGTGATGGGTGTCTGTATCAGGGGGAAACAACTACAGCTAGCTCCTAGGGAGGTAAAGCTGACCTGGGCTCAAGAAAGATGCCTTCCTATCAATGATACTACCTTCCACAAACAAATGCTACCCTGCAGTGGAGTTCACTTTCCTCGGAAAGTCACCGTCCTCTTCGCTGCCCACCTGTGCCCTGCATCCCCAGCCTCGGCTGAGGCCCAGTGTTCCACAGAGCCTTCTGCACCCCTGGCCCACACACAGGCTTGCAAACACTCTGCTCTGAACTCCCACAGGCTTTCTGCTGGACCTGGCAATTCTGGGCTTAATTACATAGTAGGTAGTGTTACCTTCTCTCATTTCATGTCTGTTTATCTTGTTTCCAAAATAAGATTGAAACTTATCCTCAGACAGGAACTATGTTTTTTTTTCTATTGGTGCTGTCTCTAAATACTTACACACATACATACACATATATACATACAAACACACACACACTATGCACAATTTTGTTTTTAATCATCTTGTCATACAAAGAAAGAACACTTAGGCATATATTTATAGGTAGATATCTCCAATTGCATCAGGCGGTGGTGGCATACGCCTTTAATTGTAGCACTTGGGAGGCAGAGGCAGGCGCATCTCTGGGAGTTCAAGGCCAGCCTGGTCTACAAGAGCTAGTTCCAGGACAGGCTCCAAAGCTACAGAGAAACCCTGTCTCGAAAAAAAAAAATAAAAAAGAAAAGAAAAAGAAAAAATAAAGATCTTCCCAATTGCTTTCTTTACCCTGTGACTGGCCACTAACTCAGCTTTCTGTTTCTTACTACAGCATTCTGTTTTCTGGTGAAATTTGTTGATGGGGTTAAAGTCTAAGATTGGGCCCACAGTGAATAAGACAGGGTTAGTTTTTCATTGATGGTTCCAGTCAACAGTGGCTCTAATCATGTTCCCCATTATGCCAGTCAGAGAACTGGGGTGAAACGTGTTTGAAATCATAACACAACAAAATGGGATGCTGTGCCTGAGATACTCCTAACCTAGCGCTAAGCACACAACAGATGCTCGATAAAAATGGGTTAGGTGCGGCTGGAGAGATGGCTCAGAGGCTAAGAGCACTGACTGCTCTTCCAAAGGTCCCGAGTCCAATTCACAGCAACCACATGGTGGCTCACAATCATCTGTAATGAGATCTGATGCCCTCATCTGGCCTGCAGGTGTACATGCAGGCAGAACACTGTACACATAATAAATAATAAAGAAAACTTTTTTTAAAAAAATGGGTTAGGCAGATGTATAACTGCCTCAATGAGAAAGCATGTGTCTAGCACAAGAAAGACCTTGGGTTTCATTCAGCTCCAACATCAAGATAATAGAAGGTGCATTAGTACATCAGTGAGTTTCTCCTATGGCATCCTCTAACTACAGGAGACGACCCTCCATACAAACATCTACGCACACAAAGAGAGCACAGCTAACCTCCCCTGGGGTAGTTCCTAAAGGAACAGACAGATGAGTTCTCCAGAACATGTTGTTCATGTCTCAAAATAAGATCCACCTCTCATTTCAGGGCACACGTATTTTTAGTGGTCAGGGGAAGGATTTTTGTAAGGAAAACAATGAAAGGGCCCATATTGTGGGAACAGGAATTAAAATAAGCTGAACCTCACCATCTGCAGGCATAGATGCCTTCCCACCCTGCTGCCTTTTGTGGGGTTCCATTCTGCTCTATCTGTTCCTTTAGTGCAGAAAGTGAGTCCTGGGGGGCTACTGCCCTGCTAACAAAGCTTGCACAACGTTCTTGGTATGTAACATACACTGCACATTGCCCCATCAAAGCCCTGCTGTAATTCCAGCAAAGGGACTGCCATTGTTATCATCCTTTTCCTTTTATAGAAGACAATACTGAGAAAGCAGGGTGGGGACAGATAAGGCGATCTTGCATAAAGTAGCTGAGGAAAAGCCAATTGAGCTGGAACAGAACAGAGGGCTGGATTCTGATCTATTTGGAAGTCCCCTGGTCCTCTGCAAGTTCCACCAGCTGCTGAGGCGCCTTGAAACTTGGGAGATACCACGCCAGTTCTGTGTGCCTCTCTGGTTCTCATGGCATTTCTAGAAACTGGAGGTGGACAAGGAGGAGTGCGAAAGAGGAGAGATGGCAATGCATCCACTTAGATCAGCTCTCCCCCTCCCTTGCTGCCTCAAGTGAGGTGTCCCTGGATGAGTAGGGTAGTGATGGAGGGATGCCAGCCAAGCAGCAGAGGAGGCACAGCCTTTCCCAACTCACTCCTCAAAACGCCCAGTGTTCCAATGTTAAAGAAGCCCCCAAGATCAGAAAAAGAGTGTAGACATCAAGTGGTCAGACTGGAGTAAATTGCCCACCCCATACTTCCAGGCTATGTGAACCAGGACAAGTCAGCATCTCTGAGCTTCAGGTGCCTGATCTGCAAACATGGAGTAGTTAACAATGCTGACCTCATAGGTTTGCTCTGAAGATGGAGTGCGGATGGAGCTGAGGGGCAGTAGGACCCACACGGAAGCCTCTGAATACCCACTGCCATTATGTTGATTGTACTGTTGAGTGTGCAACAAGACATATGCAACCATATCTGCTTTATTATACAATACATAAGCCTATACCGAGGATAAGAATTGCAACATGGTATGGGTTGGGCACTAAAAAAGATACAGGCTGTGGTGTTACCTCTGTTTTTTAATCACCATAGTGCCAGCAATATCACCTGTCCCCACATTCCAAAGGGTGTGTAGCATTGGGGTAGACTTATATCTTGTACTTTATTTCAAATCCCAGCCAGTGAAGGCAGTATTCCTCCCCTTTGCAGGATGAGGAAAAAGCTGCCCAAAATGTTTACACCTAATGGTCCTTTTCCTGCTTTAAAGTCCTGTTACCTGAGAATGCTCACTTGTTACCATGGTGACTCATAAGTTCAATGGTTGTTTCCCAGAGAAGTATTCTATGTATTAAGTCAGACAGAGGAACCTCCTGACGCTGACTTGAGTCTGGGACTCCTCTACAACAGGCAGGAAGGTTTGGGATTTCACCCAAGGGCAGTTACTAAGAAGCAAAAGTATTTCATTAAAGATGTTTTCTTCTGTAAGGGTGGACAGGTTCTTTTATTATTATTATTATTATTATTATTATTATTATTATTATTATTATTATTATTATTTCATGGTCCAGCAGGCCAGTGTTGTGTTTTCAGTTCCAACATTGGAACTCCCCACCAGATGGCATCATTTACAGGTTTCCAAAGTCCCTAGTTTCCTGCCCTTCCCAGAACTGTAAGGCAGGACTCTCTATGTCCTTCCTGGGCTAAGTGAAAAAACAGAGACCCCAGATTACAAAGCCAGTCAGCCCCAGCTCAGGGCCACACTCAGGACACACCTCAGATCTGCATGTGCCTTTTGTGATCTTGGCATACTGACAAGAAAACCATTCTCAGCAAGCACATCTCAGAGCCAGGAAGAGAACTTTTCCACTAGGCAATAAGTGAATATGATTGGAATGAGAAGCCAGGGTGCTGGGGCTCTAATTAAGGATATCCACACACGCAGGCGCCTTTACACACGTACATCGAAGAGTGTGTGGGCGACCACTGTGGCGACCCAGTGCCTTGCACGATGCAAGCACATCTCCATACAATATTTTTAGAACATTATCTAACAATGTCTACAAAATAAATTATTCATGTTCTTTTATTTGGCATTTCCTCTTCTGGTAATATGGAAATATCAATAGAAATAGAATTTCACAAATATATGCTTGACACTGTTTATGAAAGCACTGTTCAGAGTAGCAAAGAAAGCATCCAAGTGATCCATTAGGTCCTATAGCTCCACTATAAAACAAGCAGAAAATGGAATTTTACCCAAATGGCTATGACATTTCCCTTATCCCAGAGCTGAAGGGATGTCGATCACGTGTTACTATAAGAGCTAAATTGCAGTGGAATATAGCTATTTGAAAGAATTTCTTATGGGAATATCATCATCCCTCTAACGTGTGACTGTAAGTGTGTGTACATCCATTTGTTTATGTGTGGTGAAGGATGCGCTTACAGAAAGGTGTGTAGATTATTAACACCAGGTATCCGGGGTGGGGGGTGGGTCCAGGAAGGATGAAAGGAGAAAAGATCCCTGCTGTTTTCTTTGTCGGTATTTCAAAGTTTTCAGTGGTTCCAATATACATATGTTATTTGTGAAATATATGAAGTCTTACCCCCATGACCATTAAAAATCAAAACAACAAAACACAAAAGACAAAACCAACCAACCAAAGAAACAATAAAAACGTCTGAAAGCAAAGACAGAGAAAATTCTAAAATAAGTTTCTCAAATTCTGTTTTGGCCAGTTCCTCAGTCAACATCATAGGAGCAGAAATATTGTTAATTAAAAAATACACAGCATCAAAGAAAAACAAGGACCTGTCAATCTAAGCATTCTTGGAGCTAGTTAGTTTTTGTGACCATTTTCCTGTCCTAGTCTTGATTCTGGAGTAACCTGCTGAACTTAGCACCTAGGAATATCCCCACACCCAGAGAGGGAGTTGTGTAGCCTGTGATACCAAAGTGACTTGAGATGCTTCATCTTGTTCTGCCTCACCCCGGAGTTTGTAACTATAGATAGACCCCACCAGGAGACAGAACCAACTCTGGCAGGCAGGCAGGTCTTCTGGGGCATCAGAACCTGGTACTCTGACGACAGGCCTTGTTCCCATGGGTTTCTTTAACCAATTCTGACTCTCACTTGTAGAGTGACAACAGACAGAACTACGAACCACAGAAGTCCCTGCTCTTACGGTGATGACCATGGGACTTCAACAGTGATAAAACCATCTGAAGCATTAGCTCAGCCAATCCTTCTGGGCTGTCACCATCCAGTTCTAAAATCCTTAACCCATCCTACCTTAAGAGTCAGCCAGAAGGCAAAATAGTGTGACTTACCAAGCCAACTTCTGTTTAAGTACACAGACACAAACACGGGAGGCACTGTGAAGAAATCTACTACAGAATTCACTTCAAGCCAGAACCACAGCTTATCGTTGGCTGCAATAAACTGGGGGGAAAGAGAAATAAGACAGAAAGACAAAATGAGAGACATGGTGCCAGCATTTACTATATGTCCTTTTGTCAAAGGACCAACGTTGGGTTTCTGTGGGGTCTGGAGGATGACACTCCGTTCTTCTCATATTATCCTGTATACCAATCACTAGCTTGTTTGGGCGAATGCATAACCTTTTTAAGAAAGTGACTACATGCCACATAGGCCTTGGAGAATGATCAGACAATATACTTTCCTGTGGATCCTGGCAGCCTCACAGAGGATGAGGAAACTCACTTCCCTGGGTCTTTCTAAGGTAAATTTAACTGTGAATGAAGCACATATATACGCATTCATGCACATGTCTGCAATTCCCATTTCATACAAAACTCCTCATGAGTACCATCTATCTAGTATGGGCCCCCGAATCCCACCAACCTTCACCCCTGGTTGGCTCTGACAGTGGCGATCTCAACACTGCTAAGGATAAATTGATGAGCTTAAGATACTTTTGTTCAATTTACCTTTTAATAGAAAAACACATTCATGTTTGAATATGTTAGAAATTTAGGAACACTGAGACAGTGAAGATGCCATTGTTTCAGGCCCTTTTTTTGAACTATATCAAGCACATATTACAGAAAAGCAATGAGCTTTCCCATAGACCTAAGAATAGAAAGCAGGTGTGCAGACCACCATGGGGACCTCAGGCGTCTCCTTGCCTGGGAGAGCAGTCCTGGGTGGCATGTTATCCTGGAGTTTCAGATTCTCCTACCCCACCGTGCTACTCCTGGGAAATGCCGCCAAACTTACCCGCAAGCCAAAGTAGAGAAGGAAGAACACGTTGAAAGCCATGTCGATCTGTAATGTGAAATCTTTGTAGAAATTCTGGCAGGATTCTATTGGGCTATTAGGATGGGAAGAAGAAAAAGCAAGAGGTAAATAAAAGACAAAAAAACCCTCGTCACAGCTTCCACAATGCTGAGAAACGGTGGGTGGGGTAGAGGACGCTCATTGAATACATTTGGTCTTTCTACCCCTTGTGACCATCAAGCAAGCACTGCCAAAGGGGTTTCCATTCAACCATTCAGTGTTTTCTTCTTTTATTTGCTGGGGGTGGCGGTGGCAATTGTAGATATTTTTTTTTATCATCATTCAACAGTTGATCTGAGACTCAAAGGAAGGTCATGCATTCTCCTTGGAGGAAGGACAAGCAGGAAGGACTACCAAATTCCTTGATTTCACATTAACCCTTAAAGAACTGATTTCTTCAATTAAAAGGACTTATCACAAGGTTAAAACAACAGATCCTATGCCCTCCAGCCCATTAGAAGTGGAGCCCATTTTCCAGTAGCTACGTCTGAATCTTAGAAAAGCTATTAGCAAATTTGTTAAGGACTCAGGAGCATCTCAGGAAAGCTCTGGAGGAGAGGCTCCTGGTTACCATTCTAGCTAGTCTAAGCATGGACTTCTTGTGTGGTACTCTGCACTGGGGAAGGAAGCAATGTTCAACAATAAAATTCAAGACCATTAAACTAATGTATGGAAGCAGTACTCTAAGGGTTAATTTTGTTTGTTGTTGTCGTTGGCATGCAGGTTAATGGGCTTTGTTGTGTGTGTGCCAAGCAGCCAATGCGCACCCCCCCACCCCGCACACTTCTATTTTGTTCAAGAGTCGGCAGTTCCAAAGGGTACTACTATACAAACTGGTACAAGGCTCCCATGAGAGTTCCCACAGCAAACTGATCAGAACATCTCCGTGTGAACAGTGCCGAAGGTTGGAGCAGGTGGGAAGCACCAAAGTCTCACAGACATCTCAAAACTATAGCAGAAATTTCAGTAGACTGCCGTCTGTAAGCAAATGGAAGCATCCAGGCCGGGAATTATAAGACAGTGAGATGAGAAAAAGGGAGAATGGAGGGACCCCCGAATTCTTCTTCAGATGGGAAGCAAGCTGGACCTCCCTGACCATGAGTCAAGGAACTACAGAGGTGCATCAGGAAAGATTTCTGAGCAGCGTTGCTACTTTAGAAATCATTGCATAAGATACCAGTTAGTATAGTTGTACTTCAATCAGGGCAATGCTTGGCTGTTCAACAGGCAGGAATTGGTGCAGCCTAGGAATGCAGGGCCCACTTAGAGGTAAGTCAATCTATGGGAACCTCCAGTCATGTGACATGCACTGGCTTTCCCCATTGTTCATTGGGATTACAAACCAAACATGCCCCTGGTCGTGTTCCAAACCACTGATGTGTGGTAACCCTCCACACACAAAGGCAGAGTAACCTATTCTTGCATTTACAAAGTAAGCAGACTGAACAAAAGCTATAGAAAATGGTTGTTTTACAAAGGAAATGACAACTGCCAAGTTCCCACTAAGGCAAGAAAAGTGAGAGGGGAGACAGAACGGAATCTGGTTAGTCCAGTGCTGAAAAGAGGCAGGAACAAAAGCTTACACGAAGCAGCCTACCATTGTTCTTTTTGTTCCCTCCCAAGTATGAACTTAAATGAAAACTAGGGCCTGCAGGTAACAAGGGACATGTTTACAATTCTTAAGCCATGGTGTGGTATTATCAACATCAAGAGTACAGTGTGTTCCTAAATTATGCATTTAGGGTGACAGGAAAGATCTACTACAGATCCCGGGGACCTTAAGTTGACAGTATGTATCTCTATGGTGAGGTAAGAGGTGTGTGTGCGCGCGCGCGCTCGCGTGCGCAAGAGAACAAGTGAGTGAAGATGCAGGATATTTGTAGATAAGCATCGCGCTCATGTGCTCCATTGTGCTAGCAGGAACCTGAATTCTACATTGAAAGTACATAGTCAAATATTTTGTTGTACACAGTGTCAAGGGAACCAAAGGAAGGCCTTGGGTTCAAGTTCACCAAGGAAAATCCATAATTACCTCATTAAAGCCAAGAAATAAGCTCAATATTTCTTTCCCAATAGTCATGGAAGGAGATATTGGTGGCATTTAGGGAATCTTGTTAATTCTCTAGAGCCTATTAATTCCATGAGTTTGTGGATTAATTTAGGAACTTCTTGGAAAACATTTTTCTGGACTCTATTAGAGAGATAACATTTAAGTGTCACTGCAGTTACTTTTGTTCAATAGAAATGGGAAGGGATATTCAAGAAAGTATTAACCATCAGGCCACAGGAACTCTTCCCCATTGTTCTTTGATTTCCTGGTCAGTTCTTTTGTTCTGTGCTTTCCATATCACACAGTGTTTAAGTGCAACAATGAAAAGACTTTATTCTAAAAAGATGCCATGTTGAAAACCAAATCTCAACATTCCATCCCCATGTATAAAAAGTATTCAGAAAACATAATAGACCTTGTCACTGGCTGCTCAAAATTTAAAACTGACTTAACCATCACCTCCTTACTATTCACTGAGTTCTACACTTTGAGCTAAAACAATAAAATAGAAGCTGCTTTGAGTGGTTGTTTTTCTGGCTGAGGTACAAGGTAACAGAAATACATCCTGAGCTATGGACAAGGTTGGGGTAAAGGGCAAGAGGTGGGAAATTCTGAGGCAGAAACTGAACTGAGTCTCTGGGAACTCAGGTGGAATGGAAGCATTCTGGTGACACATTTTATATCTCTTTTAGCAACTTCCCCTGCAATGGGAATGCCCAGAACAACCCCCTGCACGGTGTTTCAAGTAGCAAGGGAACTATTTATCAGGATCCATTCTGAGATAAATCCTCTGAGTGCCTATAGTTCATGCTCTCGCACAATCAAAGACCACAGAGTGGAGATCCAAAGCCCCATTATTTCATTCCCCAAATGGAAACAACCCATGGAGTTTACTGATCTTTTCGAAAGATAATCCGTAACTCAAGAGCCAAAAGGTTGGCCTATCAGGATTTATTTTTCTCCCCAAGAGACTTTCTCTTAGCGATTATTATTCATTGCGGGAGGGAACTGAAATGGAAGCGTCTTGTGTAAAGCGCCAGGGTTTCCTTGTCTACATCCGCAGATGGCAGCAGGGAAACGGGGCTGCTATTTAAAACTACAAAAGAAAAGGATTCTGAGTCACATTCTTAAATTTAGATTGCCATTCTGATGAGGCATGCCCACATCAGAAAAGGCTTTGGGTGAAAATGCAATGCCAATCATGGGTAGAGGGATTAAGAATAGAAAGACACCAGTTCTAACTCTGACAGCAGCAATCTGGCCAACCCTAATCCATTCCTAATTAATGAATAACTAGGTAAGTAGAGCGTGTTATCCTTATAACTGATGGAATTTTCATTCCTAGGCTCCCACAGTCTCTACAGATTGGGTGTGATACTGAAGCCTTGGGGACATTTAATGTCTTGACCAGGAATCTAAGCTTGAGGATCTTTCCAAAGATCCCCACTAAGAAGTTCCTTCTGTTGAGACATGTGCAATATGGGGCATAGCTGAAAATGAACTTCTTGAAAGCATTTGCTTAGCATGCAGTTGTCTCCAAAGGAAATAAGACACTTTGTATGGAAAATGGATCCCTTTCTACATATCCTAAACAATACATTTTCCTGTAAATAGGTTCAGTATGATGATTCAATAGGTAGAACTTTCTGGACTTGGCTTTGGAACTTGTCAGAGCACAAGGCCACTCTTTGGAATCTTGTGTCATCTTGAAGCAGGAAGTCCTGACATTTCTCCTAACCCTCCACACTTCTCCTCATATCCCCAAATGCTGTTTTTCTATCTCTTGCCTATGGCTGCCCAACTCCACGAGGCTATTTTTTCCAGACTCTGGTTGTCAGACTCTGGCCTTCATAGGCCTTGGCTCCAGTTCCTGATTCCTTACTCTGGATTAGGGGTCTAACGTTGGGCTTTTCTCTCAGGCTCCCAAACTCTGCTGATGTTGTTGTTCAGGGACCCCACTTTGCTAACCATGACTTCTGAAGACATTTCTAGCAACTGCACACTACTTACAGGTACCATTACTCAAGAAGACGCCCATCCAGACCTGAACAGAGAAGATTAAAGAGTTTGAGCCTGTCCACAAACAACCAGATACATACCACTTAACTAATCGCTAAGATCAAGGCTTGAACAAATACTTTCAGTTTCAGATATGGAAAAGAACAGGGGTGTGATTACAATACCACCTTACATGATTCAACAGTGGACATTCCAATTAAAAATCAGCGTACCCGCTGAGTACATTCTCAGTTCTAGATTAAAAGGGAAAACTGACAAAGTCTAGATGAGGAGGGGTGAAGGGGATGGTGCTTTCCTTACAGGAAATAAGGAAATGCTAAGCATTAGGAACACAACAAGCATTCGGAATGATAGAATAGGGAAGGGGCTGGTAGGGAAGCAAAGTAGCACTTTGTATAATAATTTCTAACATTCTGATTCTCCCCACTCTTGAAGGCTAGTTCCTTTTAAAATTGAATGGAGCCTTCTCAAACCCCACCAAGATTACACACAAGAGATCAGATTCAAGGCACTGCAGATATAAATCAATTCAATAAGCTTAATGATAGCAGACTCTACTCATCCAGCTCACATCTGCAGTGCTGCTAGATTAATCTAATTAAAAGATGTCATTCACGGAGCATTAGGGACCTTTCTGTTTCAAATACCAACTCTGAGCCCAGGTGCAAAGAATCTCCAAAACCTACTTCATTCTAAAGTTCTACAGTTTTTTGTTTTGTTTTGGTTGTTACTACAAACTGATTACTTTGTTCCATCAGGAATGAGATACAAATATTGTCAGCTCTAAATCTGTGTTGTGGTGTGACTTTTTCAAGTGCTTTTGTCCATTTGTGTTCTAACCGCAGTAGCCTTCAAAAACTTGATTCACCAGATAACTCATATGCTTGTGTATAACTTATATACAAATAATATGTATCCTTACAGACTTTCCTTCATCTATGAGGGATTTTAAAGTATACCCTTAA